ATATTTTGTTGCCCGAGGCGGAGGAACAAAGACACCCCCCCGCAACGTCGCCCGCCCCCAAAGCCATTCGATCTCCGGGAGAACCCCCCCCCAAAAAAAGATCAAGAAACTCACCAAGCCCCGGGGGTCTTTCAGTACCGGAGGGGAGGGCCCGGCTTGGCTCCCCGAGGAGCAGGAGGGCGACCCCCGCCATCCAAAAGCGAAGCGCCATCGTCTCACTCCGATGTCGCTACGCTTTTGCGCCCGCAGCTCCTTGGCAAAGACTTGAACCAGAAGTCACAGGAATATCTCCACCTCCGGAATGAGAACAGAGAGTGAGGATTGGCTGCAAAGAAACTATTCCACCAATAGACAAGACGGACTCCGATGTCGTCATCGGCTGCCGGGTAGAAGACGCACCGCAGGCCAGACAGCGCTGGAAAGCGAAAGCGACTTGGTGCACGCAGTTGTTTTTTTTCTTTTTCCGGGAATCCCCTTTGAAGTGACGAGCCCTGCCATGGAGGGGGAGGGGCAGGAGACTAGAGGGGGATGATTAGGGTATTCGGAGCCTTGGTCCTGCTCACAAAAGCGGTGCTGTGCGGGCAGCACATTTGTCCAGCTCCGGTCCTATACAGGTCGACCCCTGTCAAATTTTCCCGGGCTTGTAATCATGGCCAAGGGAGGATTCGAACTCAGGCCTCCTGAACCCTACTAGTTCATCAGGCTGCCCACCATACCAGGCTGGGTGCTATCGGAGTTGGATTGAGAGCATATTATCCTACTGTCTCTGTGTATGGTTCACGAGCTACACAGTGGCAGAGAAAAAGGCAATTCAAAGGGTGAGTAAGACGGCCCAAAACATCATTGGATGTTCACTCCTCTCTTTGGAAGAATTGTATAAGAACAGATGTAAGAGGAAGATATCTAATATACTGAAAGACTCCTCTCATCCGGGACATCAGCTCTTTAAACTGTTACCATCAAGAAGGAGATTCAGGGTATTGAAAGCAAGGACAAGCAGATTCAAGAACAGCTTCTACCCAAGTGCAGTATTGAGTTTAAATGCGGGGTCATAAGTTTTTGGTGGAATTTTAATTGCTGGGAGAAATGGGGTATCTATATTTGTATGGTGAGTGTTGTGTATATTTTAATTTTTTTGTAGTGGTGTTGTCCACTTTTACCTTGGGGAAGAGCACCTCATTTTGTTGCACCCACTTGTGAGTGCAATGACAAATAAATTTCTTATGTCTTATGTCTTATGTCTTATTTCTTTGGCCAAAGATACAAATAAGAGTTACATTCACAATTTACAAAATCTCCTGGAGGGGGGGGAATCCTAATGGACTAAATTTAAGTTAATGTTGCCCCCAAATGACACAGTTTAGATTTACTTCCTTCTGTCAAGGAAAGAGGTTAGAAGAGTACAGTATCCAGTCAGGAGATTTCGTCTAGGAATAGCTGACATTCCCATCCCACAATCTCCTATCTTTCCTGTGATTCTAAAACTGCCCATAAAGGTGGTTAAATCTTCCTTTCACAAATAACTTCTGGAACAGTACATGAATGGTCACTTAGAGATGATGCGTGTCTTCCCTCTCTCCTCCAACCAGGCCGAGGGCCAAATCTCTCGGGGTCTACGTTTGCATTTAAAGGCATTTTTATTGGGGTAAGGAAAAGACTTTCAAATATTTTTTTAGAAGATAATTATAACCCAATATATTAATATTAATGCAATAAAATTAATATATGAGAGAATGGCCTCCTCTGACGATCTGAGGGGCTGGGAAGGCTCATACGAAGAGAAAGCCAGATGACTTCAAACAGCAAGGACCCAAACAGTATTAGGTTTTATGGGTCATAGCCAGCAGTTTGAACTGGGCCTGGAATTGGACTGGAAGCCAGTGACGCTGTTCTTACATGGCCGATATAAGCTCTCTGTTAA